TCTGAAGCAGATCTTGTGGTTTCTCTCAGCAGACACTGATGTCGTTTCTCTGCAGCTCTGCAGATCTCCAGCAGTCCTGCTGCAGGGGATCAGATGAACGGATCAGCAGGAGGAGATTTCTCAGGATTTTGTGGCTCTTCTTTCTCTGGAACCAGGAAGATCTTCTGCAGGAAAAACTGTGGAGAAGGAAACGTTCTGGTAGAAACTAAGGAGGATTCAGCTGCAAACGGACGATACAGCATTGAATATGTCAGAGGTCAAGCCAAACATTTACAGCTTATTGGTGAAGATCTCAGGCCTGACTGGGTCGGACTCGGGTCGGTACCGATGTGGTTTGGGTGAATCCTACCAGGATTTCACTCTCAGTGTTTCAGGAGGTGAGTTTCTGAAACACTGATTACTCTTTAGATTAATGGACTAATTAACACGTCTGCTGTCCACATTCAGCTGCTTTTCCTTCAGCTCCCCACAGCATGATTCTGCCGCCGCCGTGCTTCAGCATGGTGCCCTCAGGTCATTCTCCTCAGGTTCCTCCTGCATGAAACAGCTCACAGCTTTCAGACTGAAACTTTGTGGTCAGCAGAAAATCTGAAACTTGCAGAAACAAAACCACTCAGATTTATAAAACCGCATGTAAAACTTCCACCACAAACTTTACAGTTTATAAACTTAGCAACAGATTTTGTTCAATAGGCGTCTTTCAGGGCTGCAAGGCTGACATGAAACTTAAAACTTTAAAAAGCAAAATAAAATTTAGGGAGTGAAAACTGAAGGGATGTGTTGATCAGTTAAAATGGAAAAGCTTTTTAAAATCGTTTCTGATTCTCTGCATAAATGTAAATCTTCCACATGTCTGTGCCATCTGTCAGTGGATGAGATGTCAACATCCTCCATTTCAGTGTCAACCTCTTCAACCTCGACAGCAACTCATCCATGGAGTCTGAACTCCAGCTCAGAAAGTTTCACACCTTCAGCTTCCTCTGCAAGCAGCAACCAGCCTGTGAGCCACGGAGAGGAGAAAACCCCTGACGGTAAACCAACACTCACTCTGCTCTGGACTCTGATGCTTCCCAACAGAAAAGCAGCTAAAGATGAATATGTAGATGTTATTCTCCTTGCTGCGACTCTTATTGTGAAATGGAAAACCTCCTCAGGGCCTCCTGGCTGCTGCCTCTGTTTGCATGTGAAGAAATGTTTGCATCCAAACTGACGCTCTGTGTGAAACGTTGTGTAGAAACGTCTGCTGGGCGCCTGCTGGCGGTGGTTCTGACCGGGGCTGGCATCCTGTTATCTGCGGCTCTGCTGGTTTTCTGCAGACGGAGGCGTCAAAACCTTCTGACAGGTAAACAACAGGAAACGCTTTCTGTGGTTCTGGGGCCGTCAGACCCAGAAGAACAGGATGAGAGATCAGCAGGAGGAACCAGGCTGCAGTGAAGGCTCGTGGGAACCAGAGCCGTCATCTGCAGCCTGGCTGTGAAACACGCGATTCCTGCACAGGAAGTGATGTCGTTTTGGTATTAATGCCTTCAGGGGAACCTGGATGAACGGGACCGCCTGGTGCAGCGTGCAGACCGACGCTGCCACCATGAGACACAGACATGAGGGTGGGAGTGTAAACCTTGTTCTGTGTTCATCACTTCCTGTGTGAAAGAAGTCAAAGGTCGCCTCCGCCCGCCGTCTTCGTGGGAAATTAAAAATAACACAAGTAATGCAGTCATGATGCTGCCACCACCATGCTTCACCATCAGGTTGAGGTTCCTTCACTGAGGAATTTTATATGAATAAATGTTAATATTTCTCTTATAACTGTGTCAACAATGATCAAGTTTATCAGCGGGGTTAAAAAAGGCCAAACAACATTAAGTTCTTGCAGAATAAAGACGAAAGTCTCGTCATCCTCCACCTGTTTCCATTTATAACTGTGAAGAACCTGAGCGGAGGATCTCAGCAGATCACCCAGAGGCAGTTAACTCTCCATCAGCCAATCATCACTCTGCAATCAGGTTTTATGAAGGCCATGTGACCCCAGTCAGCCAATCACATGAAGCTGACGCCCAGACGCCTGAACTCTCAGTTAAGGCGCGTTAACTGCAGTCTAAGCAGCCGGCCTGGTTTCACTGCTTGGTACTGAAAACAACCACAGAGGAAACATTTACACAGATCTCAGCAGCAACTGAGACGCATCAGTTTTAATACAGAAACAAAAGAAGAACTGAGGATTAATATGAAACAAACCGTTTTACAGGTTGAAGAGTTATTCTCTGTAAAACCAGCAGGAGGCGCTACACGTTGATGCCGTTTGGTATTAATGCAGTTTTATCCAGTCCAGTCTGACAGCTGATTACTTCTGCATATTCAATTTACATGTGTGTTTTATAAACTTAATCTAGTTTTTATTGATGTATGTCACAAAGTGGTAAAAGCTACCAGCCCAAAGGCCATTTATAATCCCAGTATTTAATACATACGCAATGCAATTCCTGTGATAAGAAATCGGTTTTATTTTTAGGCCACATCCTCACCAGCAGGGGCAGTAATGAGGCAATTTGCCAACCACCTTAAAACAAGAGAAGAAGAAAAACCAACCACACCTAGCAACGGGGTCAACCACACCTAGCAACGGGGTCAACCACACCTAGCAACGGGGTCAACCACACCTAGCAACGGGGTCAACCACACCTAGCAACGGGGTCAACCACAACTAGCAACGGGGTCACCTAGCAAAGGTCGGCCCACATCTGAGTGGAAGGGTCAGTGATCAGTGAAGAGTCACCTGACAGGTGTTTTGTTGGTTCCTTCGTTTTAATGGGCTTTTCAGAGTAAGAGCCTCTGTCTCTCTGATTCACTGTTGGTTGAATCCGTTTACTGATCAGGTTATTTGTGTTTTGATGGCAGGATTGAACACAATCAGGTTTTTATGAACTATTTCAGTGAACTTTGCTTTCTAACTTTTATCTGTAATCTTAATTTGTCCAGGTGTGAAAACCACAAGAGGTTTAGACAGAAGTGACCAGAAGGTAAATCATCCAGTTTACCGACGGTTTTTCTTCTGTGAGACAAAAATGTTCTCACTAGAAACTTGTTCTCTAAATCACCGTCTGAACAGAACAAATCTCCGGCTCAGACAATGAAAGCTGCATTATTTGCTTTTCTCTTCCTTTTAGGACCCTGATTATGAAAATGATTCGTCTGGGGATTTGATTTACATGAATGCAAAACCCGTCTGCAGGAACAAGAAGTAGGATGAGACCCGGATTGAAACCCAGATTCTGCTTCTGGCCCAGAGCTGCTTTTATTATTTTCTGTTTAATATTTTTGCTTTTTGTTCCTTCTTTTTCTTTTTCTCACAGTGGGCCACCATGATTATTTATAAATGTATGTGAAAATATACTTTATATTATTTAATTAAACAATAAAGCTCAGCAAACTGCAATAACTGGAGTGTCTGTTAAAAACTCCTAAATATCAGGGAATGCAAAAGAAAGCTCAATAAAAACCAACCGGAGGGTTTTTGGTTCAATCAAAGTATTTTTCCTCTGGAAGGATCTTCAACAAATTGAAACCTCTGATCAGGAAACACATTTTCCAAAGTCACACACACACACACACACACACACACACACACACACACACACACACACACACACACACACACACACACACACTCACACACACACCAATAGGTGAGAAATGTTCAGTGATTTGACCAGGGCCACTTCTACATGTGGTGAGGGGAATCTAACTCTCAACCCACTGAGACACATCAGTATTTTCTATGGAATGACGCCTGAAGGAGCCAGAAGTGACTTGAGCTGCAGCAGCTGCAGCAGCTGCAGCAGCTGCAGCAGAGGCAGGTTCAGGCGGTGAAGGAGTCTGCAGACTGGAGGGATGGAGGAGAGGAAGTGTGAAGCTCTCAGACGGTCTGGGGGAGGAAGTGCTGCTGTATCTGACGGGTTGCAGGAAACCATCACAGCTTCAGTATGACCGGCGACACTTTGCTCTGCGTCTTCTTGTGTGAGTACTTTTTACTTTTCATCTCGGTTTAACAAACATCAACTTTATTGTCGCTTTAGTGCTTAACTGGACATTTTTATCTGATGTCCCTCACATATTTCTTTGTCCCAGTAGAAGACAATTTGAACATCTTCACTTCCTCCTCGTCTTTGTCTTCGAGTCGTCGTCTCTGTAAACTGCAGACCTTCTTATAAAGAGTCCTGTAACGATGTGATGAAGGTCCTGAATGCATTTTGGTCCAAACTCAGTTCAAACCCTAACCCTTACAGGAACTCGACATTCAATTTTACATCTGTTGAACGATTGTTACATCGCATAAAATGTCCCATTTTATCATAAAAAGACAAAATCAGAAAGGAAAAATGTAATATAAATGTTATGATGTTACATCATAATGATTTTAAGTTTTAGAGTCTGAATCTGAGCCGTATTTTCTTTTTGTTCTCATGTTGTTGTGATTGGGATGGAAAGTTTTGTTCCTCTGCAGAATCTAACGACTGACCTCTGGTGATGGAAAGAGGAAGCTGGTCTCACTGGTTTCTCTCACTGGTTTCTCTCACTGACACGTCGTGTTGGTTGCTGGTTTTCTGCAGACAAATAACAAACCCCCGACAGATTCAGATTAAATTTTTTCCATTTGACCGCCATCTTTGTTCTGTTTGGAGCGACTCAGCCAGACTCAGAACCAGAAACTGATGGAGAATCTGAGACTGGGACGGGGGTCTCCGCCCTTTTGTCTCTTATTAATCGCAGCTCAAAACAAAGCAACTAATAAACTAAAAAAAGTAATAGTTGTATTGAAATTCTTCAGCTGAATGAGCGTAAAGGTTTAAATCTGTCAGCTTGTATTTTAAATCCTTTTCCACAAACAGAAGAAAATATATCCATGCTCAATTTGTAAGTTATTCTTCAGGCAGATTATAGACTTGTGGATAAAAAGATAAATATCAAAAAGTCAGGTGATGTCAGTGTCTCTGTGTGTAACGATGCCTGAATCCTTGGATCTCATCACCAACAATAAACCATCAAAATACCAGAGGAAACATGAAAACGCTGCTGTACAGGTTTGATTCCTGTAATGTCAAATGTTTCCTTTTGATTTTTGACAAGTTTTAAACATTTCTTTACTAATGTGGAAAAACATTTTCACTATAAAAAGTGTTTAAATCTGAATAATTGTCAGATTCCCTGAAAAATCGAGATTTAATGTGCAATTTGTTTCTAAAAGTGTTGTTAAGATGGAAACTGAGTTGGTGAAGCAGATCTTGTGGTTTCTCTCAGCAGACACTGATGTCGTTTCTCTGCAGCTCTGCAGATCTCCAGCAGTCCTGCTGCAGGGGATCAGATGAACGGATCAGCAGGAGGAGATTTCTCAGGATTTTGTGGCTCTTCTTTCTCTGGAACCAGGAAGATCTTCTGCAGGAAAACTGTGGAGAAGGAAACGTTCTGGTAGAAACTAAGGAGGATTCAGCTGCAAACGGACGATACAGCATTGAATATGTCAGAGGTCAAGTGCCAAACATTTACAGCTTATTGGTGAAGATCTCAGGCCTGACTGGGTCGGACTCGGGTCGGTACCGATGTGGTTTGGGAATCCTACCAGGATTTCACTCTCAGTGTTTCAGGAGGTGAGTTTTCTGCTAAAACATTTTCATCTCTGGAGGAAAGTTTACCATTAGCTGCTGATGGAAGATGATTATTCATTTATGAATAATTAACTAACTGATTGTGTGAACCTTATCTTAACCACCATGTCTCTGATTATTTCCAGTTTCAACTTCCAGACCATCAACCAGTTGGAGCTCCAGTTCAGAAGTTTTACACCTTCAGTTTCCTCTGGAATCACCAGCCAGTCGGTTCCAACCCAAGAGAACCCAACAACATCTGACTGTCAGTTATATTTATGATGTTGAATGTTCCTTTAATGGTTCATCTTCCCACATGAAGCTGTTATTCTGTTGCTCACCTCACATTGTGGTGTGAAACCAGCAGGTTCTCCTTCCCAAACCGCTGCAGATGTTCAGCTGTTTGTGCTTCCAGTGCTGGCCGTCACCGCCGCCCTGCTGGCTGCGATGATGATGATGAAGGTTTTCTGCAGAAGATCAAAGAAACCTCAAACAGGTGAGAGAACAGAAACACGTTTAGGAAGCCGTTTGTTTTCTCTGATGTCTCTAAGTTAACAAAACTGTTAATGTTTCTAGATTAGAATCATTTCTATCTGTTTTTGGACTTAAACGTTCTTAAATGTTTAAACTTCGGTTTGTTCTGAAATGATTTCCAGATTCTGCTGTGGAAATGCATCAAAGTCCTGCTGCCTGTGAGGTGAGAAAATATTAAGCATATTATTACTGGTTCATATTGAGATCAAATTAGAAAAACAAGTTTTTACCTGCATGTTAACTCATTATTCATAAACATGGCGTTTAGAAATCTTAATGAAACTGAAAAATTCAAATAATAAATGAAATCAGTTTAAGTTATCAGTTTGCAGTAAATATTCTGCAGGTCTGGTGATGCCAACATGTTTCCATAAACCCTAAAATATTGCAAATGTTTATGGAGCAAAGACCTTTTCACAAAAAGTTAATGTTTTTCTCCTAAAGACGACCAGAATCGATGATGACGATGATGTCAGAGAGGAAGACGGGCGGTGGAGATCTGCTGACGTGGAGATCTACGTGGCGTACATTGACGCCATCAGCAGCTCTGTGACTGCAGCTGCTCAGCAGCGCCAAGTCAGAAAAGCCTTCATGTTTTCACTTTTCATCATCATAAATATAATAAACAGCAGAACCTGAAAGTTTTTACACCAATTAAAGACACAAAATGATGACTAAACATATTTACTCTGCGAGTGAAATATACTCTCAGAGTAACCCTACACCCTGACTCTAACCCTACACCCCAACCCTACACCCCAACCCCTTATGACACAAAAAACAGTCTGAGGTTTAAAATACCATTTTAATGAATTGGTTGACGCTGTTTCTGCCTCTTTCAGGCTCCAGATGATCAAGAGGATGATGAAGCTGAGGTGAATTTCTCCAGCAGACTGTTGGACTCGGCTCTCAGAGCCGCTGGAGGCTGCAGCAGTGACGTCCTCTACTCCGTTATCCGCCAGGACGAGCTGCTCTACTCAAACATTTTCTAATCTGCTCCCATTTGTTCAGATGATTTTTATTTTATGTTAACAAACTGACTGGTTTTACACCAACTGAAGCTGAAGGTCTGGATAAATTTCAACTGCAGAAAATATCCATTTCAAAGTCTAAACTATCAGTTTTCAGTCGTTCCTTGGAGGAAATCCTGATTCATTTGACATGTGGTTGTGCACCTGTCTGTCCAGGAGTTACGTGAGTTTTGTTGTTTGTCTTTTTCTTTGGATGTTGTTCTTCTGTACGATGATTCAGATGCACCCAAAGTCAAATCCATCTACTGTAATATTTTTAAAGAGTCAAGTTATAACGGTATCTCCTGTTTACTAATGAGATCAGCTAAATATCTTTTATTTCATAATGTGTCTTAAAGCTGCTCCACAGCAGGAAGTGTCCAGCATGTTTTCTTTGTTTCATTGATCTCAGTCTCATCTGACTGAGATCAATCTGCAGCTTTCTGCAGAACATTTCACCAAACGTCACAGAGTTTCTGCTTCTGGTGGCATCATGGAGGATCAACGTCTTCATCATATGAGTCACATTAGCGACACCTGCTGGATCTGAACCGTCATTGCAGGTGGTGTGATCTGCTGTGGACAAGAGATGAATGGACTCAGCTGACTGCATGTTGGCTGCATGTTGGCTGCATGTTGGCTGCATGTTGGCTGCATGTTGGCTGCATGTTGGCTGCATGGACTCACACCTGAGCACAGTCTGTACAGACAGATCAACCTAACAGTCCCATTAGGGTCAAAGGTCAGACAGCAGCAAGCCCGGAAAGTCACGTTTATTTGTATAAAACATTTCAGCAACAGAAAGTTCAAGATGCTTTACGTCATAAAAACATAATACAGTAATTAACTATGAATATCATCATCAAACAAATATATCAATCAATGTTCCATTGATTACTAATAAATTCAGCTCTAAGCAGGTGGGATTACAGCTTTGAGTTAAAGGAGCTCAGTGAAAAACACACAAATGACATTGTAACATAACCAAAATGTTTGCAGAATATTTCTGAATAAATTTATGAAAGATTAAATGTATCAAACTGTTTTGTAGAAACAGTTGCTGTTATTTCATTGTTTAAGTTATTCCATATTTCAACTGTTTAAAACTGATTTGGGGCAAAAATTATGATGGTTTTAGGTGTGGCTGAAATTAATGTATAAAGAGGGGCGTGCGGCGGTGGCGTGCGGCGGCGGCGTGCGGCGGCGGCGTGCGGCGGCGGCGTGCGGCGCGGCGGAATACGCTCATTGATCAAGTCAGTGACTTGATCGAATAATTAAACAAGTCAAAAAAATCAAAGAAAACATAAACAGTAATCACTCTTTATCTATGATGCAAAAATGAATTTTTCTGATTCCGTTTTATTCTGATTTAAGCAGAACAAACTTTATTCCTCAGGCTCAGAACCAGATTCCAGGATCTTATTTGTCTTCTTCTATGGTACAATAGATATGATTCTCTTCTTTGGTGACATAACTGAGGTCCTGATAGATGGGGTTCTCATAAATGGAGTTTCCATATGTGGATTTCTAAAAGGAGTCACATAAACATTCATTGTTATTTCACTCAGTTTCAGAAAGAGATTAATAAAGTTAAAACATTGGAACTAAAAGCAGAATCTGAGGAAATGATGCAAATAGGAGCAAAAGCTCCTTTATGATCAGAAACGTACCACAGCATTTGATCCAGCTTCGTTCTCTGCATCTGTTAAACAATTTATAGTTATTGTTTATGAAGCTGAATGTCTTTAGGGTTTTTGAAATGATATAAGAATTATCTTAATCTGATTAGTTTAAAATAGTGAAGCTTTGTGATAAAGTTAAACATCCAGATCAGTCTTCTTAAACAGACACATGTTGGAAAACTTTTTGTTCATGCAATAAACATACAACACCAATCACTTACAGAGCCTACTTAAAGTATTAACAGCCCTCAATATTTTCAGTTGTTGGGTGGTCATTTATATTTGTCAGCATTTTTTCTGTTATATCAGGTACCATGTGATGGAGGAAACAGGTTTCCTTGCTTATGTTTGACCAAAAGAAATGAATCTTGGTGCTGGTTTTATTCAGAACTATGTAGAAGGAATTTCGGAATTACAGGTTCCCCAAGATTTCAACCGATATCTATTCCATACATGTGTGATATGTTTTTATTTAAAGAATTCCAGCAATGGACTGATGACTTTATCTGTTACTTTAAAACCTAAGTCTCATCAGACAGTTATCTGTCTGATGAGACAAATAGTTCAATTAAAATTGAACTATTTGGCTATTTTCCTCATAACCAAGTGGTTCCCCAATTTGGAAATTTTGGTCTAAATAACTGGTTTTCTGAATAATTGCCCTAAGTAATTAATTATAGTTTTTCATAACCAAAACTAGACTTCCATAGTGGCATTACAATAACGTCCCCTGATAACAAATATGGCGTCATTTGGAATTTATGTTTTGGTGGCAGTGTTAAAACGCCACTTATTGGCCCCGTGTGCCTTGATCTGAATATGAACCACCTGCCCTGATTCTTCTAAATAAACAGCACCAAGGCTGAGTCCAAAGACTTCCAGTCCAGATGTTCTCCAGTGAACTCATGACTCCACCTCACCACCAGGTGGAGCCAGAGACTCATCTGATTCTAACTGTAAATCTGGTCCAACAGAAAGAGGATTCTCCACTTCCTCCATCATGATACAAAACATTTGTTTATTTAGGTAAATATTTCAGTTTGTTGCTCCTGATCAGAGTGTTGTGAAGGTGTGTGTCGGTGTGTGTCTTTGTGTGTTGTGTGTGTCGGTGTGTGTGTGTGTGTGTGGGTGTGTGTGTGTGTCAGTGTGTGTCGGTGTGTGTCAGTGTGTGTCAGTGTGTGTTGGTGTTGTGTCGTTGTGTGTCGGTGTGTGTCTTTGTGTGTTGTGTGTGTCGGTGTGTGTGTGTGTGTGTGTGTGTGGGGGTGTGTGTGTGTCAGTGTGTGTCGGTGTGTGTCAGTGTGTGTCAGTGTGTGTTGGTGTTGTGTCGTTGTGTGTCGGTGTGTGTCTGTGTGTGTTGTGTGTGTCAGTGTGTGTGTGTCTGTGTCAGTGTGTGTCAGTGTGTGTGTGTCTGTGTCAGTGTGTGTCAGTGTGTGTTTGACCTCTCAGAGATCTTCTCCTGCAGGAAACCAGCAGAGCTGCTGAGATCAGAACCACCAGGGCAGCCAGAGTCGCACCAACAACCACAGGAACATCTGCAGAGGGTCAACAAGCCGGTTCACACTGAGCATGCTCAGAACCTGCTAATATCTACTGAATATCTGGATGCACATAAACAGAACCCAGAACCATCAGAACCTGGTTCAGTTTTTTTTATTTTTCTCTACAAATCAAGTTCTTGCTGCATGTTTTGAACAAAACCACTGAGAATATATAAACAAAAACATTATTATGAAGATTTTTATAGATGACTCACAGACGGAAGATTTTTTTTTGTTATCCTGAAACTGAGCCGAGTCGTTATTGATTTTAAAAGATCTTTGATGTGTGAAATTTCCTGAACTGGAGTTGAATCTCTGAGTCGTTGCTGTGGAAAAGTAAATAAGATCAGATATCAATAAATCCATCTTTATTTATAGAGGAACTTAAACACACAAAGTGACATAAATGCTGTGCAGGTACTAAAGTAACCACAAAAACAACTCCAATGAAACATGAAAAACTATCAAATTAAAAAGAAGCAAAAAAAGAAAATGATTCAAACATGAGACTTTAAAACTGACTGAAAACATGAGCAGAAATGGAGCTGAAAGTCTGTGAAGTTACTGCTGGTGTGGAGCTGGATGGGCCAACTGGACGGGCTGGAAGGAGAAAAGAAACAGATCAATCAATCAATCAATCAATCAATCAATCAATCAATCAATCAATCAATCAATCAATCAATCAATCAATCAATCAATCAATCAACCTTTACTAATAGATGACTCCACACACTCAAAGTGACAGAAATGTTGCACAGATCCATACAGCAAAGTATGAAAAATGAGATGAATAAACACAATAAAACAGACAAAATAATAAAGACAGAAAGAGAATCATTCATGATCATTTCTGCTCAATTAGAGACTTTAAAACCTGAACCGGAGCTGGACAGGTTGACAGCTGGAATCAATCAATCAATCAATCAATCAATCAACCAATCAATCAATCAATCAATAAATCAATCAATCAATCAATCAATAAACATTTATTTACAGAACACTTCACACCCACATGACCAAAGTGCCGTTTGGCTCATAAATCATGAGCAAAAAAAAAAAAACATATACAATAAATCAGGAAAGAACAACTAAAAAAAAGCAAAAAAAAAAAAAAAAAAGCAAAAACATTAAACTGGAATAAAACTGGAAAATTACCACAAAAACCTGAAGACCTGAAAATATCTCATGTTTTTTACATTTCCAACAAAGAAACTTAGAGGTTCCTGATGAACTCCAAGGTTTTTGAAACTACAAAGTTTCTAAACTATAGAAGTTTAATCCAGTAAAAACTCACCCCGAGTGACGATGATGTAAAAGTCTCTGTGTAGATCTGATCGAATCGCTCTGTCCAGTTTACATCGGTACCATCCAGAGTCAGACTGGGTCAGCTGTGAGATGGTCACCAACAGAACTGCTGATTTTCGTCTTCTATCGTATTCAATGCTGTATCTGCCTCTGTCAGCTCCGACTCCATCAGTCTGAACTAGAACTTCATCTTTTCCACATTCTCCTCTGCAGAACAGTCGTTTCCATCCAGAGTCTTCAAAGGAGCAGGCGACTGTCAGTGAACCGCCGGCGTCACTATGGAGGCGAGGAGCATTGTTCCCATCCAACAGAGCTGTTAGAATAATCATCAGTCAATGATCATCAGTCAATGATCATCAGTCAATAATCATCAGTCAATAATCATCAGTCAATAATCATCAGTCAATAATCATCAGTCAATGATCATCAGTCAATAATCATCAGTCAATAATCATCAGTCAATGATCATCAGTCAATAATCATCAGTCAATGATCATCAGTCAATAATCATCAGTCAATAATCATCAGTCAATAATCATCAGTCAATGATCATCAGTCAATAATCATCAGTCAATGATCATCAGTCAATGATCATCAGTCAATAATCATCAGTCAATGATCATCAGTCAATAATCATCAGTCAATAATCATCATTTATCTTTTGTTTTAACATTTTGATTTAAATGTTTTCAGTGTTTCTCAGAGACTCACCGTCTACAACAACCAGCCTGAAGTCCTGGAATGAAGCTGATGATGATGATGAAGAGTCGGTCAAACCACATCTGTACCGGCCGGCGTCGGACCGGGTCAGCTCTGAGATGCTCACATACAGAACCGAGTATGTTCTGGAAGCTTCTCTGACATATTCAGTTCTGTACCGTCCGATCTGAGCTGCAGCATCACTGGTTCTGATCAGGAGGTTTTCTCCCTCACAGGTTTCCCTGCAGAAGAACTTCAAGGCTCCAGATGAGAAAGAGACACATGAAATCAAGACGTCTTCCCCAGAAACTCCATATTGTCTCAGAACTTCAACTGTTCTCATGTCTCTGACCTGCAGGGCTGCAGAAAATAATGCATTAGTGCAGGTTGCTCTGGCTGAGCAGGTCAGTCTAAGAAAGTACAAAAATCCCACTGATGCAGAAGAAGAAGAGAGCTGATAACAAGGAAACAAGCAGGAGCTGAGAAAGAAGCTCTGACATGGAAACATCTACGGAAAGAAGATGGAGGATCAGCTGCAGCATCTGTGCAGTTTGAAAATGTTCTTCAGGTGACAAAAGGCCGACTTTGTAACTGTCTTTATGTGACTCAGTGGGTTCAGGTCAGAGTGCATGACCACAGTGACACCCAGTGGCCACCCCGCGGTACTGTTTTGTTTCTAAAAGCAAGAAGCTGCAGTGAGGTGAAGGTCAACTCTTAAAACTCTGACCTGCAAATACTTTCACCCAAACGCAGACAGACAGACGGACGGACAGAGAGAACGTAGATAATCATCAGTTAGATTCACTGAGAGGAAAACTTCTCTTCTTCAATCAGCTCTGGGGAGGATTTAGTTCTGTAGAAATTAAGATTAGCATTTTGGATCTTTCTTTTTTTGTTTTTGTTTTGAATAATTAAAATCACCAATCCCTTTTCTTTTCTGTCTAAACGTTAATTTTACTCCAAATGTTCAAATCTGCAGATAAATCAACATTATATTTACTGATAGGAAGTGAGATTTTTATCTCTGCTTCTGAAAGTTTCCAAATGGTTTTGAGAATAACTTCGGGTTTACGTTTAAGGAAGTTCTACGCTTACATGTTTGCTCTTAAATTTTGTCTGAATAATAAATTTGAATCAATGATATTCAAGAATTCAACAATCAGATAATGACATTGAACTGAAAGCTTTAAAGGGATTAAATCTTTTCTCTCTGGGCGTAGAGGTCAGAGGTCAGAGCGGCCGCCCCGACACGGAGGTTGTCCTGAGTTCGACTCCCGTCCTCTGTCCCTTTAAATGTTCTCTAAATGATTTATACCTTTATTGTTCCATGTTGAGAGGTGAGAGTATTTTTTGTTTTGCCAGATGTTTGGGTTTTTCTCCATTAACAACATTTTACAGTCAAGTGTTTAAATGACCAGTTAAGTGAGAGAAAAACCTGTAAATAATGTAAATAATTATGATTTACTCACAGAGGAAGACGAGGCAGAGCGAAGGCAGACGGGCCGTCATGACGTCTCTGCTGCTGACGATCAAACTCCTCTGCTCTGCTCCCCTCGGGGTGTTTGCTGCTCGTTTCCTCTGACGCTGCATCAACACTGACCACAGAAACTCCTCAGGCAAATGTAGAAGCTGACATGTTTCTGCTGTGAAGATTTTTGCATCATTGACGTTTTAATACATTTTTTCATCATGTTCTGTGTCTCACTGAAAGGATCAGAAACTAGTTTTTGTGTTTTTTCTGTCAGTCGCCACTTCTCTCACACACTAACATTTTATAGAAGCGTTTATTGAGATATGAACCACTTTTCTCATCTTTCCTGGTTTCTGCAGCAGAGTGTTTCTCTCTGAATGGCTGCATGACTCAGACTCATCACCTGCGACGCTGCAGAGAGGAGACTCGGGGTCAGAGGTCAGCCCTGTATGCCTATTCATTGCCTTGTGGCGTTCCCCTCCTCTCACCAAACGATAGGCAGCAGCTACGCTGAGGTAGCTTTGTGTGCAGAGGAGTTAACTGGTCCTTAATGAAAGCATTAATCATCATTCCTCCACCACCGTGCTCAACAGTCGTTATGAAGTATTCAGTTTAGAGATATTATGATCCGCAGGCCTGAGTTTGTTCATTTGTTCAAAACTCTGGAGTTAAAATGCTCATATTGGACTAAATGATCAAGAAAGTAGAAATAAATGCATTTCTTTTCTTTTTGCATAAGTAATATGCAAAAAGAAATGATCACATTGCATTTTTGACATTTATTGAGCACATATTATGAGAAAAGTTTGTAGTCGTCTGTGGGTCCAAGCAGAGTGACACACACAGGACCATGAAACACACACACACACACACACACACACACACACACACACACACACACACACACACACACACACACGCACACCCACACACACACCCACACGCACACACACACACACCCACACGCGCACACACACACACACACACACACACACACACACACACACACACACACACACACACACACACACACACGCACACCCACACACACACACCCACACACACACACACACACCCACACGCACACCCACACACACACACCCACACACACACACACACACACACACACACACACACCCACACACACACACGCACACACACACACACACACACACACGCACCCACACACACACACACACCCACACACACACACACACACACACACACACCACACCCACACACACACACCACCCACACACACACACACCCACACACACACACACACACACACACACACACACACACACACACACACCCACACGCGCACACACACGCACACCCACACACACACCCACACACACACACACACACACACACACCCACACGCGCACACACACACACCCACACACACACACACACACACACACACACACACACACACACGCACACACACACACACACACACACACACACACACACACACACACACACACGCACACACACACACACACACACACACGCACACCCACACACACACACACACACTCCAAAACGTTTGGATGTTCTTCTCACTCACATCAAACAAACAAGCAAAATGTGTTTTTATGAAACTGAATCTCTTCCTTCCAGTCAAAGTGCTGATAGATGCAGAATTAAAGCTGATTGTGGGATTCGGACCTACCGGTTCTGAAAATGCTTGGTAGAACCATTTCGGTTCAGCGAACAAATGAACTGTTTTAAATGAGTCCAGATGCAGATCAAAGTTTTTCCTGATCAAATGAAAACATGATGGAGAAAACAGAGCAGCGTTCTGCAGCCCGGTCCAGACCCAGTCATGAGACCGCAGAGCGGTTCTGGATTGTCTTAAACTGCAGCTCTAAATCTAAAATCATTTGGCTTCAAGTTGTTTTAGGCAAGACTTTATTGTTCATTTCAATTTTCTTCAGATCTCAGGTGAAAATCTTTGGACTCCTGAGGCTCAGAAACAGAATCCAGGATCTTATTTGAGTTCTCCAGAGTGCAGTAGGTCTGGTTCTGGTCCCTGGTGGCCGGGCTCAGGTTCTGGTAGAAACCTTTCAGAGTGGATGCATCATTGGTGGTTCGCTGGAAGGAAGACAAACATTCACTGTGGCAACCATGGAAACTCAGCAGCATGAAGGGATGACTGAATACCTGAGCGAACGAATCAAACCGTTTCAGATATTTATTAAACTCACCGCAGAGTTTGATCCAGATGAACTTCCTCTGCTCTCTGCAAAGCAAATCACAGTCACAGAGTTAAGAGACTGAAAGTCATCAAATCAACAATCATTTTGATCTGATGCATCAGAAACAGTGAAGCTCTGACTGGTTCTGAAATCTGCAGAACTTGAACCGGATCCGGATCAGTCAGTTTAGAAATAGATTCTGTTTCTCAGATCGCGAACGCAGACGCTGCGACCTGCAGCGCGTTGAAGAGCCGTCATGCTGTGGGCTGCCTCTCACACACACACACACACACACACACACACACACACACACACACACACACACACACACAGACACACACACACACACTTGTTGTGTGTGTGTGTGTCTGTCGGTGTGTGTGTCAGTGTGTGTCTGACCTCTCAGAGATCTTCTCCTGCAGGAAACCAGCAGAGCTGCTGAGATCAGAACCACCAGGGCAGCCAGAGTCGCACCAACAACCACAGGAACATCTGCAGAGGGTCAACAAGCCGGTTCACACTGAGCATGCTCAGAACCTGCTAATATCTACTGAATATCTGGATGCACATAAACAGAACCCAGAACCATCAGAACCTGGTTCTGGCTGTCTGAATCAGTAAAATATAATTGAATAGAAACATATATGATGAAGATTTTTCCCATTTTGTGAAGAAAGACGTGTCTCTGCCTCCAACATGAACTGACATGTTACTGATGTTGTGTTGGTAGTAAATGTACCTGAACTGGAGCCGAAGCGCTGAGGTGTCGGTGTGGGTCTGGACGGGTCGACTGCCGGGAAGAGAGAAGATGGAGAGAAACCTTCCTGCTGACTCACTGAAATATTAAAAAACTGTGAATATTATTTATCTGGTTTGAGTTTAAATCACTTATGTATGAGTAGAAAGAATAAAGCAGGTTTTATTATAATGAACCACAGAATATCTAAAGTCTGATGTTTCTGTACAGATCTGAAGTTCTGCCCATCACACATCGGTACCGTCCAGTCAGAGGAGCAGAACTCCTCCTGATGTCTCTGTATCATATTCAACGCTGGATCTGCCTTTACATGCACCAACTCCATCACTTTCAACAGGAAGGTCTTTATTTCCACATTCTCCTCTGCACAAGGATTTGACTACGCCAGAGGAGGAGGCGACTGTCAGAGCTTGAAAGATTTACACATCAGAGACTCACCGTCTACAACAACCAGCCTGAAGTCCTGGAATGAAGCTGATGATGATGATGAAGAGTCGCCCAAACCACATCGGTACCGGCGGCCGTCGGACCGGGTCAGCTCTGAGATGCTCACATACAGAACCGAGAATGTTGTGGAAGCTTCTTTGACATATTGAGTTCTGTACCGTCCGATCTGAGCTGCAGCATCACTGGTTCTGATCAGGAGGTTTTCTCCCTCACAGGTTTCCCTGCAGAAGAACTTCAAGGCTCCAGACGAGTGAAAGATGCATGGAAAAGTTGTGTTTCCTCCAGAAACTCCAGAAAATGTCCGAAATTCAACCGAGGAGCCGCTTCCAACCTGCAGGGCTGCAAAAGATGATACATTAGCAAACGCTTTAGCTAATGCATTAGCTGATGCATTAGCTGATGCTTTAGCTGATGCATTAGCTAACGCTTTAGCTAATGCTTTAGCTGATGCATTAGCTGATGCTTTAGCTAATGCTTTAGCTTTAGCTGATGCATTAGCTGATGCTTTAGCTAATGCTTTAGCTAACGCTTTAGCTAATGCATTAGCTGATGCATTAGCTGATGCTTTAGCTGATGCTTTAGCTAACGCTTTAGCTAATGCATTAGCTAATGCTTTAGCTAATGCTTTAGCTGATGCTTTAGCTAACGCTTTAGCTAATGCATTAGCTAATGCATTAGCTAATGCATTAGCTGATGCATTAGCTTATGCATTAGCTTATGCTTTAGCAGGTTGTTGTTGTTCTGGGTGAGCCGGTCAACCTGAAGAAGCAACTAAAATCAGACTGAACTGCTGTTTACTCACAAACATGATTTCATGATTCACTTTAATTTGCTCAAACTGGAGAACATGGAGTCTGGAGGTAAAACTCCAACACCAGATGAGACTTTAACCGTCACCATGGCAGGAGCATCCATTTCATCACCAAGACGACGAGTTCAACCAATGAAAAGCTCCTCCTGCCTGGTGACTGACCCAGAGAGGAGCCCGACCTGCTAACGCTAACACCTTATTATTATTATTATTATTATTATTATTATTATTATTATTATTATTATTATTATTATTATTATTATCATCAATTGTTAGATCTTTGTCGGGAACATGATTTTCATGTGTAAAAGTTTTTCTACCTTCATGTTGTTATTTTTATCTAACAAAATGTCTGCAGCCTCAGGCGCCTGTCTTGTTTTGTCTCATGTTGTTTGTTTCCTGTTTTTTGGACCCGTCAGAACAACCAACTGAGAACAAAACAGGGCATGAATGTTTCATAACCTTCTGAACAGAATGAAAACTGAATTTATTGTCCCACAGAGAGGAATCCGGAGTCTGAACACAGCTGCAGTTATTTCAATTATTCCTGTGATTCAGAACAACGACCCGTCTGTCTGTCCGGCGAGGCTGACGATTGTTTTAAAGCGGAACCACATCTGAGATCCGGTCCATGTTGATCACAGAGGAGAAGCTGTGGAGAAGTCCGGTCCACAGCAGGAACCAGCTCCATGTCGGGTTTTATCATCGCATCTGGAGGTTTGATTATTTTTCCACTGATAACATTTTACAGTAATCAGTAAAACATTCTGACAGGAAAACCTGTAAATAATGTAAATAATTATGATTTACTCACAGAGGAAGACGAGGCAGAGCGAAGGCAGACGGGCCGTCATGACGTCTCTGCTGCTGATGATCAAACTCTTGCTCTGCTCCCCTCGGGGTGTTTGCTGTTCGTTTCCTCTGACGCTGCATCAACACTGACCACAGAAACTCCTCAGGCAAATGAAAGGCGTCAAAATGAACCAGTTTGACCTGAAGAAACCACTGGAACATACTGGAACCAGTGCTGGCCTCTCAGCCCAGTGTGGTTCTGGTTCTGGTTCTGGACCGTCTGTCTGCTTCAGGGACGAACTGCTGCATCCTAAATGCTCAAAGAGCCGTAATCACAGATCCTTCCTCTGTCAGCCTTTATGACCTTCACTGCTTCACTGGAGCAGAAGCTTGAAGTCTGACAGCATTGTTGTTGAAATATTTAAGATTTTAAATTCTGTCTTTCTTTGTGTGAATCTACTTGCTTTGTGGTTGAAATGTTCCCATTGTGGGACAAAAAGTCATATTTCTATTTGATCTTCAGGTTATTTAGTGTTTTGGTTTGGTTTCACCCTCACTTCTCTTACATGGAAATGTTTTAAAGAAGTGGCTTCTGAGACACGAACCACATCAGTGTGAACAGCGCTGCTGGTTCCTGCTGCAGGGTGCAGATCTGCACACATCACAAACCAACACATGGAAACACGTCACAAACATCCACCCAGCTGCTTAAAGTCCAAAACCAGAGAACAATTTGATTAGAAAGCTTTTTTTCCCACCAGAAAATGCAGGAATGAAATAAACAGAGCAACTCCAACGTCCTTCACCTCATTGAATCATTTCATTAATATTCTTAGTTTTTGTAGTAACTACAGCAACCGTTCTGTTTTCAGATAAACATGACATTTTCTGCTTGGATGAAGAAATTGTGGCTCCTTCAGGAAACCTAAAGAAACTCCAGAATGATGTCAGAGAACAGGAAGTGACTCCTCAGCCTCCTTTCTGTTTCAGAGCCTCAACATCTGGAGAAAAAACTAAATCCAGCAGAAAACAACTGAAAAGCTAATAATGGAGAACCAAACATGCTAACACAATATTTATTTTTGCTTTGAAGCTGCAGATGTTGTTAAAAAACATGCGGATATATAAAACAGAAACGTATAAGTTGCATCTGGTAGAAAAGTTCAAGTGCTAAAATAAACAGATTAACCTAAAAGCATTGATTCATTTGAATGATCAATTATCTTCATCAAACATTTTGAATGTTAGTTTGTCTTTTTATGTCATCAGGGAGCAAACTGTCCAACTTCTCCTTTGGGTCGAGTGAGTTCTGAGTAGATCTGGTTTTGGTCCTGGCTGGACGGGTTGAGGCTTTGGTAGGTGGGATCCTGTGGACCCTCTGGATCCTGTGGATCCTCTGGATCCTCTGGATCCTCTGGATCCTCTGGACAGCAGTTCTCATAGGTGAGACTCTAGAAACAGATGGAGCATGAAGATCACTCAGAGTTACAGGCTTGCTATTTAAATTATTTAGAAATGTGAATCACATCAGGCTGAAATAAACTCACCTCAGTGACTGAACCTTTCAGGCCTCTGGTCATCAAACCTGAGGAGCAAAAAATAAATAAAACCCATTGATTAACTATCACCTTGGACCATAAGAAATATGGAAAAAATAAAACTTTAAAATCCCAGAAGGTTTAGAATCAAAGGAGAATTCAGAACTTCATAATCTTCACATTTATTCCCAATAAAATGTTTCCATATTATACCTGAGACCTTTATGATTCTCTGCTCTCTGTTATAAAAGCCTCATAAACGGGTCAGTGTGAGTGGAGCCCCCCAGTGGAGCCCCCCAGTGGAGCCCCCTAGTGGAGCCCCCTAGTGGAGCCCCCTAGTGGAGCCCCCCAGTGGAGTCCCCCAGTGGAGCCCCCTAGTGGGCATCGGGGGCATATTTTGCATTCCAACATAAGTTATTTTAAGTTATTTTAGTCCGTTCATGTTGCATCTTGAACACTGAATATCTTTCTACTACAATAAAAGTTTGTTAATATCTTGCTAGTGAGATTTCTGGAGTTGAAAATATTTTTCTTTAGGATACAAAAGCACCACAAACTTATGTGCAAAAAGCAAAACAGGCCAACCATGGACAGATGAATATTATATATTAATATTAATATATCTCAAACTGCATTTGAGCCTGCAAGTTCAACTTTATCCCGGTTGCCGGGGAGACGTGACATCACTGTTGATGTGTGTCAGTGTGTATCAGTGTGTATCAGTGTGTGTCGGTGTGTGTCGGTGTGTATCAGTGTGTATCAGTGTGTATCAGTGTGTATCAGTGTGTGTCGGTGTGTGTCGGTGTGTATCAGTGTGTGTCAGTGTGTGTCGGTGTGTGTCAGTGTGTGTCAGTGTGTGTCGGTGTGTATCAGTGTGTGTCAGTGTGTATCAGTGTGTGTCAGTGTGTCAGTGTGTGTCAGTGTGTGTGTGTGTGTGTCAGTGTGTATCAGTGTGTGTCAGTGTGTGTGTGTGTGTCAGTGTGTGTCAGTGTGTGTCGGTGTGTGTCAGTGTGTGTCAGTGTGTGTCGGTGTGTGTCGGTGTGTGTCGGTGTGTGTCAGTGTGTGTCAGTGTGTGTCGGTGTGTGTCGGTGTGTGTCGGTGTGTGTCAGTGTGTGTGTGTGTGTGTGTGTGTGTGTGTGTGTGTGTGTGTCAGTGTGTGTGTGTGTCGGTGTGTGTCAGTGTGTGTCAGTGTGTGTGTGTGTCAGTGTGTGTCTGTGTGTGTTTTTGTCAGTGTGTGTCGGTGTGTGTCGGTGTGTCAGTGTGTGTAAGTGTGTGTCGGTGTGTGTCAGTGTGTGTCGGTGTGTGTCAGTGTGTCAGTGTGTGTCTGACCTCTCAGAGATCTTCTCCTGCAGGAAACCAGCAGAGCTGCTGAGATCAGAACCACCAGGGCAGCCAGAGTCGCACCAACAACCACAGGAACATCTGCAGAGGGTCAACAAGCCGGTTCACACTGACACCTGCTGGTGGACTGTGGAACTGACCACAGGCATGTAGACAGATCACAACCTACCTCATGTCCTGTTACATCCATTCTTGTTTATATAAACTCAGACTTTAATTCTTCCAATCAGATCAATACCTTGTCATGCCGAAGAGGGAATTCAGATATTGAGTAGCAGGAAAGCAGCTCTGAGGACTAGAGCTGCTCTGGTTCAGTGTGAAACTTTCTGAAGAGAAAAGTGTAACTGTGGCTCACAGAGGCTGAGTGGAGCCGGAGGTTTTGTTTCTCCGCTCTGCATTTGTGCAGGTTGATGAGAGGAAGCAGCAGGCGTCTGAGTGGTTTCTGGTCTGGAGGTCGATGGCTGAACGGCTGAAAAAAGGAAAAACGGCTGGAAATGATCCGCCTGACCACAGATGCTTTTTTGTAATCCAACTCTACAAAGTCTTAAGGTAATCTGTGTAACTCCAGCCATGAAGGACTGAATGCCTTTGTTAGAAGAGACGCGCAGCAGCACCTGTCCTGTCCATACAGAAAATGGACGGATGGATGTTTCATTGATTACTGGTTGGTTGGATCACATTCAGACTGTATCATTATATTCATGCTTCATTCTTTCAAATTTTGAATCTACATTCAGTGAAAACTAATATGAACGACCTGAAAACTATTTTCTATTCTTGTATGTTTGAGATGCGCAGAATGAAGTGGGAACGTTTTCTGGACCTGGTACCAGCAACCCAAACTCTGAGGACGATTGTTGGAACTTTTGTTATCTGACCCAGATAGAAACTCACCCTGTGAGACGGTGATGTCAAAGTCTATGAATGCAGTTCTGGGTCCGTCCTGCTGACAGCGGTACCGCCCGGAGTCAGACTGGGTCAGCTCAGTGATGGTGACCAGCAGGACTCCCTCAGCAGATGATTTCCTTTCATACTGGATGTTGTATCTGCCGCTGTGAGTGGATTCTCCTGCCGTCTGAACCAGAGCGTTTCCTCCACAGTCTCCTCTGCAGAGATACTTCGTCCCACCAGAGAAAGCAAACAAACAGGCCACGGTGACGGAGCTGCCCGGTTCTGCAGACACTCGGCTCTGCTGCGGCCCGCTGCGTCGATCCAGCACCGCTGTGGGTTCACAGCAACCATCAGGAGTCACATTCTGCTCTCAAACATCTGAGTTCAACAGAAACTCACCGTCTGTGACTCTGAGCTGAAACTGTGTGAATGAGGCTGCAGACACCGAGGCGCCGGTCCCGCAGTGGTACGCTCCAGAGTCAGCCTTGGTCATGGGAGAGATGGAAACATGCAGGATCTGATCGAACTGATACTTTGAGCTGAATCGGCCGCTTTGAGCTGAGTCTGCCTGCGTTTTGATCAGGACGTTTTCTCCTGCACAGTCATCCCTGCAGAAGATTTTCCAGGTTTCAGGGGAGTGATGAACGCATGGAAAGGAGAAGTTTTCTCCGGCTGCTCCGAACTGGTACATGGCTCCCTCATGGTAGCAGCTGTCTGCATCCTGCAGACCTGCAGGAGAATCAACCAGCTTCACATGAAGAAAATACGGAACAAAAACCTTCATCTCGCTTCTCGTCACCAACCACAACCAGCTCAGAGCAACATTGATGAGATCATGTTGAACTGCTTCACTGCGGTTCAACATTATAGACATCAATGCAACAGGAGAATCAAAGATGCTGCGAAGTGCTGCATGCTTCCTTCAGTCTCTGTGTGCAAATCAAGAATCTTCTGCTGAACTTCCTCAATCGTTCAGCTATTTTTGCTGCAGCTGCTTCAGTTTCTGCTTCCTCTAAAGTCCAGTTTTCCTCTGAACTTGTGTTGAATCTTAATGTTGACTTTTATGTTTTCACTGATTCTGTGACTAAATATGAGAGATTAATGAAAAGTTTTGTTTGAGATGGTTTTGTCTGCGTTACAGTGAGACAATAGATTGTGAAAATCACTTTAGAGTTTATAATTTAGCGCTGGACTGAATCTGAACTGGAACATGAATCAAACCTCTTCATAGTTTAAATTCCTAGCAGTTATTAGACCTGAACGTTTCCTCTGCTGCTGCGGCTTTGCAACAGTTTAAATCACACAAATCCAACCTGCTGATGGATTCATGGTGAAACTGTAAGATGATTTTTTTACATATTAAATATTGGTGAGAATCTTCAGGAAAGAAAAACTTTTCTTGAACATTTTCCAGGTTCCTCTTTTTAACTTTGACTCTCAACTATTCTGTTCTTGTTTAAGAAACTTTAGAACATTTATAACAAATTTATGCAATATTTTTATGCACTAATAAGTATAAACTTCTTAAAGTAGCTTTTCTTTAGTGAGAGCCTTTATAACGTCTTTTCACTTTACTTACTGTTTAATTAAATCCAATTATTATTTATTCCCTATGAGGATTCAGGTCACATTTTTCTCTTAAAGGCACAGAAGCATAAATAAAGTATTTGTACTCACAGAGGGTCAAGAAGCAGAACACAGTCAGCTGAGCTTTCATGTCGGCGCTGTTTGTGTTCATCACGTTAACTTCTCTAATTAAACTCTTCCTCCTGCTGCTGCTCCTCCTCCTCTGCAGCCTGCATGGGTCTCTGATATCTGAAACAGATTAAAGGTCAGTTCTACGCCTGTCCTACCCAGAATGCACCTGGCCTCCCAGCGGCGAAGCGCCGCAGGATTCCTGCGCTAATAAAACAATGAAATGAACCAATCAGTTAAACTGCAGTTTTATTCTGTCCAAAGCAACAAGCAGATGAAACTAGTGGCGGAAACGAGAAGCTCAATCCTGAGCCTCCTTTATTAAAGGATAATAAATATTATTATCCTTTAGCTTCCTCATTACATGAAATCATGGCAAAAATCACACTTCATTTTACTAATCATCTATTGATCTGATATTGATGTTCGACCAACGAGAACAATAAAGTAATTCTACATTAGCCAGAGAACCAAAACTTTAATACCTTCATCATTCACTTTTCAGTCGTTTTATCAAACAAAGAACAGGCTTTTATTTTGGCTTTTATTTTGGCTTTATTTTGGCTTTTATTTTGGCGTCGCCTCCAGGCTGGAATCTCTAAACAGCTTTTCAGGAATTTCACAGGTTTTACTTTCTGCATCTGAACTTCATGTGCAGATTTAAAACATTTATTTAATTTTTATATCTGTATCCATTAAACAGAGTTCACTGCGTCTGTTAAGTCGATGAATCGTCTGAACGTCGGTGCAGGAAGTAACAAATTCTAGGAACTTCAGTTCCTGTTTTTCTTTAGAAACTTTAAAATAAATCTGAGCTTCAGGGTCTGATCATACTGAAATTATTAGAATGCAAGTTTTCTGTGTCACTTTTAATGGGAAATCATTTCTGAAAGTAAATCTAAGGGATCAGTTGAAATTTGGTTTAAAATATCATTTTATAAGAAATTAAACTGTATTAAAACATAAATATACTTTTATATGATTAAGAGGAAAAACACTGAGATTCTGAGCATCATTATAAAAATAAAAAACTGATTAAATTAATATTTAAATCATAATGTAAGAGACTACATTTATCTGAAAAATAAAATAAACTCTCAGCTGTACAAAAATGAACTTTTGTCCAGAAAAGTTTTTGCTAAAACTTTTTAAGTGATGGTTTTAGCTTCACCTGGTTCAAATCTCATAGTTTTATCTAATTATTGATGAGTTAATATAATAAATAATGATCCCTGCTGAGATTTTCACAAGCTGTTTTCATCCTTTGCTTCAATAATAGATGGACCCCTCTGGACCCCTCTGGACCCATCTGGACCCATCTGGACCCCTCTGGACCCCTCTGGACCCATCTGGACCCATCTGGACCCATCTAGACCCCTCTGGACCCATCTGGACCCATCTGGACCCCTCTGGACCCCTCTGGACCCATCTGGACCCATCTGGACCCATCTGGACCCCTCTGGACCCATCTGGACCCATCTGGACCCATCTGGACCCATCTGGACCCCTCTGGACCCATCTGGACCCATCTGGACCCCTCTGGACCCATCTGGACCCATCTGGACCCATCTGGACCATCTGGACCCATCTGGACCCATCTGGACCCCTCTGGACCCCTCTGGACCCATCTGGACCCCTCTGGACCCCTCTGGACCCATCTGGACCCCTCTGGACCCATCTGGACCCATCTGGACCTTTTGATGAATAAAATATTTTAAAAAATAAACGTCAGAGTGGAAACTGAATTATTGAGGCTGTTTGAAAGGACTCAGTTGATTCAGCAGAGATCCAGTCAGGCGGCGCTGGTCGTCTCACAATGAGAGGAAAGGGATGGCTGGTTCTGGTCCTGGTTCTGGTTCTGGTTCTGGTGTCACCGCAGATCCTTCCTCCAGGATTTTTTGCCAGAAAAGCCAAACTTTGTGAATCTGATTGATCAGTAAAAGTGAAAATTCTCCGAGTTTCGGCTGAACATACAGAAGGTCCAGAGTCCAGTTCTGGGCTGAGAGGAGATTCTGACCTTTAGGTTAAAGGTCAAACATTTTAGTTTTTCAGTGAAGGAGAAACAACATCTGAGGGAGTGAGAACTTTTTTCAGCCACTGTGAATGAACCGAACTCAGAAATGTTTTCATTCTGAATAAAGTTTGCAGCTTTCAGTCAGTCTCATAATGTTATTCCCTGGAGTTTTGCTTTGATTCTTTCATGCATGTTTGAGAAGTTATTTAATCTCCATGGCAAACTTCCATCTGTGCAAAACGCCTGGGTGGACCGAGCCCCGCCTTTGAGGCACAGCTCCTCCCCCCAGCTCCTTCAGACTAGCCAGCAGCAATTAGCAATCAGCTGGTGAAACTGCTGAGCTCACAATAGGAGCTGCTGCTCAGAGCAACACTGGGACAAAGGTTAAAGGTTAACAGAGGAGCCATGTTGGGACGACTTCCTGGAGGCGGAGCTTCAGAAAGAGCAGCAGCTGTTAAAGAGTCAAAGGCCCAATTTCAGGCCATTGAAGTTGATTGTATTGTTGTAGCTGTTTGTTTCCTCAGACCCGGTTCCTTTCACAAAGCATGTGGTGAAGGTGAAGCTGAGCAGCTCCACTCTGGACCTGACTGACGCTGCGGTCCAGACGGACCTGCTCAACCAGGTAAACCTGGTTCGGTTTTCCTGTTGGTTTCGGTTTCCTGGAGTTGAGTTGACTTTTCTTCTCTTGATCTTGATCGCTTCTCTCCAAAGGTAATAACTTCAGTTTCTGGTCAAATTGTTCCAGTTATCTGTTCGGCGCCTCAGTGTGTTGGCAGTCAGCCATTGTGATGTGGATCGTCTGCGTCGTCATGGTGGCTTGTTCCTGTTTTCCAGCTCAGACAGAAGCTGCAGGAAGACGGACTGACAGGAAGCCTGAGCTGGAAGCAGATCGGTGGGAAGATCCGGGTCCAAGAATGGCGGCAGAAATCTGATCTCATGAAATTCACTTGGAAACATTATGATTTATTTTTGCTTCATCAAATGTGATTGAACCATTTGTAAGAAATTAATCTTTATAAAACCAAACCTGATTCATTCTTAGGAGAAAAATGTGTGTCTGCAGATTTACTGTTTCTCAGAATAAACCAACATTATTGATCAGATTTTAACTCTGAAAGTCATAAACACTGCTGGTTATTATAATTTGTTTCATCTCATTTTGACGCGTCTCCTCCTCCGTCACTCTGTTAGCATCTGTTAGCATCATGCTAACTGTCAGTGAAGTTTTCCATTTTGTTTTCTGAGTCGTCTTCACTGCTGTAAATTGAAACCTTTCAAACTAAACAGATTAAATTTGTTTTCTTCTGGGAAAATTGAAATGTGGAGCTGAAGAATCTTTTCTGTTTTAAATGTTCATCTGTAAAAACAAATGCAATAAAAAGAGAAGAATGAGTCAAACTTCACATCTCTATTTCCATGTTTGGTTTGGACCATGTTGTTCTTCTCTGTTCCTTATGAAAACATCATGAAGCTCCAGACCCTGTTTTTATGCACTGAAAAAAATAAGTCATTGGATGAACATAAAAAAATTATGGAAAGGATTTCCACCTGATTACTTTGCTTTATTTCAGCACCATGTACTTGTGTTACTCCTATTTAAAGCAAATGTGTTAGGTCAACCTAATTTATTAAGATTATTCCAATGTAAAGCAAATGTGTTGGCTCAACTTGTTACAATGGTGATTCAATGGGTGATTCTAAATCAAACATGTTGGCTCAACATAATATATTGTGGTTATTCTTATATAAACAAAATGAGTTTGTAAAACATAATTCATTAAGGTTGTTCTAATTTAAACCAAATATGTTGGCTTAACCAGAATCATGGTAAGGCAATGGATGATTGTAAATCAAATGAGTTGGCTCAAACTCCATTCATTAAGGTTATTCAAATTCAAATGAAATGTGTTGGCTCAACATATGTTTTAAAGGTTCCTTTAACTCAGTTACTATAGCGTGACCCAGTGTAATGCAATACAGCCCGCCCAACTAATCTGCAATGTTTAGGACCAAATCATTGATGTAACTTCATTAAGATGAATGTAAATCTAGTTGAAACCACCTTATTTTACAGTGGTACCTTCACACTACCTGATTCAGTAGGTCCAACTCACTAAAAGCAAGTTAGCTCAACAAATATGCTTCATGCTAAAAGACAGCTAGTTAATCGTGTGGAAATCCTTTCCATTATTTTATGATGTTAGTTCAAAGACATTTTTTCAAGCGTTAATCAAGCATTTTAAGATAGCACTAGGTGAAAGTGTAGGAAGAACACTCAACAATTAGAAAAGGTACAACACAATTGTATTTTCAGAATTATTATACATCGTTTTTTTACACAGCACAAAACACAGCTGAGTTGGACATTGAAAAAAAAAACAACTACAAAAGGTTACAGTTTCATTTCCCAGCCAATTCTTTACAACATAAAACATGTCAGTATAGTTGCTCAACTTAGAGAACTGTAACAATATAAATCTTTTCTACTGCAGACTTTAAACACTCATTTTCCATATGAAACTTTACTCAACTTAGCGGCGAGTTTCATATTGAGAACTTGTGCTTTCTTGATAAGTTCTTTCCATCCAATTTCATTATTATTTTCTGTATTACTTCAAAGGTATGCTTGAGTTACTGAGCAAGTTGAGTGCTGAACGCACTAAACTTGAGGGTAGCTCAAGTTTAGCTTTGTACACTACATATGGCTCTGCAGACTTTTTTCGCACAGAATGTACCTAACATGGTGTGGCGATAAATGTAAACTTGAGGGTAGCTCAAGTTTAGTGCGTAGATTAGTCCCAGCAGCATCACTATTGCAGAAGATACACTGCCAAGCTGTTCATAACTTCCACCTCCTCCAGGACAATCCCAACATCCAGATGTGCATCGGCACCCTCTGCTCAAATGACGATTCCGAGGACAGTCTCGGCTTTGGCCATTTCATTCATCGACGTCCTAAGGGAGTTAGGGAAGGGTATAGGGGGGGAGACAATTCACATGTAATTAAATAAATAAATTAGACTGACATT